GTTAGGTGTTATCTCACTAGGGATACATAGTCAGATGTTCAAATTACTTGAATAAATTCTTTTTTCTGTGTGGTTTTATTATCAGTGTGATATAGTTGACTTTTTTCTGCTTGTAATCAGTTATAAGGTTATTTTTCATCCTTTAATCTTTTGAATAATTATTGATATGGTTAAAGTTAGATACTATATGAAAAGATCTATTAGGGAAGTCATGTTCCCATCCCTCTCTGTTCCTTGGAACTATAATACTGAAACCATTTTCTTAGTGATTTAATAATGCTACTGTTAATGAACAGTGAACTGTGCACATCGTTAACACTAGGTTCTGGTTTATTCTTCCTTTCTTCCTGTGTTTCTTTTTGCAAAAATGCAACTTCCTCACAGCCCACATTTTCACAGAAGGTAGCATTCTATATATACTCTTTTGAATCTTCCTTTTTTACTTTAGAATGTAACCCCAAAAGTCACTCTATAAATCATCATTTCATAGAGCTCTTCCTTATTGTATTATGAGTGCACAAATTGTGCACTGCACAATAAACTGTCAGTTGTTCAGTTTATTTAAACAGTTACCTACAATATTTCTAATATTTTTAAAATTATAAATAATTCTACATTGAATAACTTATGTATTGTTCTGTATATACAGAGGATAGGTTCCTAAAGCAATTCTCAAAATCTTTTTTATTTTTTGGTGGTGCTGGGGATTAGAACCCAGGGCCTTATGCATACAAAGCACTCTGCCAACTGAGCTATATCCCCAGCCCCTCAAAATCTTTATTGAGGTTTATTTTACATAAAATGCACTCATTTAAGACATTTTATGAGTTTTAGTAAATATGTATACTTGTATAAACACTATCACAATCAAGATTATGACATTCCTATTATCAAAAAGTACATTATGTTTGGTTCTCTCTTCACTGACCAAGGCTTGTTTGGCAACCCCCAGGCAGATTGGCTGTTGTTGGCTATTGCCGACTACTGATTGTAGATTTTGTTTTTCTCCTCTTTAATCTATTTTTTCCATTTAGCATAAATCTATATAAATATCTTAGTATGTTTTTCAAAGACCTTGCTATTTCAATTTGTTCTTTTATTCAATTCCTTTAATATATTTTAGCACATTCTTGTAAAAGTTTAAGATGTGTGCTTAGGTATACCCTCCTAAGTCAAGAGTAGTCATTTGATTTTTAATTATTTCATTTTTATGTACTCGAAGCTATTCCTTTTATAGTTTCTGAAGTTCCCTTTTACTTCAACCCTATCTCAATTTATACAAATGTTCTTATAAGTTTTCTCCTGTGCTTTCATAGTTTTGTTGTTTGCTTGCTTTTGTGTTCACATTCATGGTATGTAATCTGTCTGAAATTTATTTATGGTGTTTTTATAATGTTATTGTCTTCCAGCTGATAGCAACATATGCCAACACAATCTATTAAACAAGCCTTTTTTTCTTGAATACAAATGCCATAATTCATTGATTTCTTTAGCAAATGTTCATTTCATACTTCCTGTTTGCCAGACACTGTTCCAAGTCCTAGAAATACAGGGGTGAATAAATCAAAGACGATGAATGCCCTCAAGAAGTTTAGTAGAGTGGAAAACTTAAACAAATTACATGGTTTTGAAATAATAAGTAGAACTATAAGAAAATGACCACAATAAGTGGATAAAAAGTGCAGTCAGCCTCAAGCAAATTCTCTCTGAGCAAGTAATGCTTGAAGTGAGACGTGAGACCTTTGTAACAAGATAAGATCCTGCTACACATAAATCTGGGATAAGAGCATTCCGGCAGAGGGAATAACAAATGTGAAAGGGCCTGAGCATATCCAGCTTAGTAGGCTTGGAAAATAACAAAGCCATGTTTATGGACTACAAGTGAAAGACCACATAGGACCTTGTAGACCTGAGTGAAGTTTGAATTTCATGCTAAGTGTGATAGGACACCAGTGACAAGCTTTAATTAAGAGGAGTTATATTACTTAGGATTAGCTTCCACTTTATATAGGAAAATTCAAGATAGTAGTTGTTTAAATGTACAAAGATTTTCTTCTATATGAGAAGCCCAAAAATGATCATTCAAGACCATTGTTGATGGCTCCATTAACCATATCCTTCCTTTAGGCTTCCATCCTCAAAACTACCTCAAGGTTTAGATTGGCTAGAGGAAAATAGCTTTATTTATCATATCCATATTCCAGCCAGCATGAAGGAGAGGAACAAAAGAGCATACTTGGGGTAAGCTCCCTTTAGGGAAACTATTTAGAGATTTACATAATACTTATGTTCCTGTTTATTTCACTGACAGCAATGTAATCACCTGGCCGCCTAACTATAAGGAAACCTAGAAAATATAGGTTAGACTATTGCTGTCCTCAGTGGCATAAAATTTCTATAAGGAGGATGTTAAAGTCTAAGGAAGGGATGCTGGTGGATTAGACTAAAGGTGGTAGGAAGTAATCAGATCCAAGGTTTACAGTCATGCACCACATAATAATAATTCAATCAATAATGAACCACATATGTGACTGTGGTCTTTTAAGATTGCCTAGGGATATCATAACCATCTTAGGTTGTGTAAGCACACACACAAAAAAAAAAAATCCATGATGTTTGCACAACAAAATCAATGACACAGTTCTCAGAATGTATTCCTGTCATTAAGCAATCATAATTATATTCTAAAAATAGATACAATTAAACTTTCTAATAGATTAGATGGAGAAGCGGATGAGAAGAGAGGAATCAAAGGATAATTCTTGGTGGTTTAGCATTAGTAACTGGGTAATGGCACTCCATTATAAGGTAGGAAATAGGGAGAAACAGATCTTGAGAGGAAAATTAATTTGAGCTTACTAAATTTGAGTTGCCTTTGGATATCCAAATGGAAATTTTGAATAAAGATTTTTATACAAGTCTAGGGTTCAGGAGAGAGGAGAGAGCTGGAAATATAAATATATGCACATATATGTATGTGTGTATATATATATATGTGTGTATAGAGGGGCTGGGGTTGTGGCTCAGCTGTAGAGCATATGCTTAGCACGAGCAAGGTCCTGGGTTTGATCCTCAGCACCACATAAAAATAAATAACAAAAGTATTGTGTCCAACTACAACTAATATATATATATATATATATATATATATATGTGTGTGTGTGTGTGTGTGTGTGTGTGTGTGTGTATAAAGAATCATTAGTACATAAATGAAATTTAAAGTTATAAACAAATGAAATATATAGATCACCAAGGGAGAAAGTATAAATAAGAAGAAAAAGGTCTTTAAGACTACCTTTCACTACTTAAAGACTAGTAGGAGAATCCAGCAAAGGAAACTGAGAAGTTGCCTAAAAAATCAGGAGTATGTGTAATTGTGAAAGTCAATAGAAATAAAGACTTCAAGAAGAAGGGAACAATCAATTGCAATTATAGCCAACACTTATTGAATGCTGATGGTTTGCCAGGCATTTCCAAAGTACTTGACACATATTAAATCATGGAATATTCCCAAACCTTTTATAGTGTTAGAATAGTATTATTGTTCTCCTTTTACAAATGGATAAACCTTGACACTGGGAGATAAAGAATTTGTGTATTTACAGATGATTTCAAGACCAGGCATTTGGCTCCACAGCCTGCCCTGTCCTTTAGATATAAAATGCTTCTATATGCCTTCTTTTAGATGCTGTTGAGAGTCAAAACACACAAGGACAGATAATTCCCATTTGGATTTGGTAATCTAAAGGTCTTGGGTGACCTTGGCAGCTTTTAAAGGTGAGATGAGGGCCTGGTGGTAGTGGTTAAAGAAGCACTGGGAAAGGAGAAAGTGGAAACAGAGAGAGTGGATTCCTTCCTGGAATGGAATTATATATGGAAAGATATTGGGTCCAGGAAGAGATTGGATAGGAGGTATTACAGAATGTATGTTGATGGGAATGCTCTACTTGAAAATAAGAAAATAATAGTTATGAGCAGGCAAACTTTAGAGGAACAAAGTTCTTGAGTAGGTGAGGAAGAATGAAATCCGCTGCTTGAATGAAAATGGTACATGAATAAAAAATTAATTTACATAGAAGAAGAGATAGTACAGCCCCATATGAAAAGAACACATGAGCATGGGTGTGGGCAGGCTTGGAGGTTTGGGATAGAAGTATGGTGGATTTCTCTTCCAATTTCTTCTGTGTTATCCATGTTTTTAAAGTCATCACTAAAGCAATTAGTGGAGAGAGTTTCAGGAAAGAGAAGATGGAAAATAATCATCTTAAAATAGGAAAGAAATTTTTATTTGGGGAACATAGTAGAATTAAGAAGCAATGCAAAGATTGAAATTTGCAGTCAAATATGGAGGCTCATCTGTTTTTATATTTTTCTCTCAGTATGTTCTGTCAGGGCCACTGAATGAGTGGGAAGTTGAATTTGTCCAGGGCTGGAATTTTTTCTGAGGGAGTGACATGGGAGATAGATGCATAAGTTATTTGAAAGCAAAAATACATGGCACAATATTATAATAACTCATAATAGAGTTTGAATTGGATAAAGAGGGAAGTGAGGCCAAAAAATTTGTTGAAAGAAGTAGGGGGGAGGTAGAATCAAAGGATGGGTGAAATATTTTGATATGGGTATATCAAGGCAAGTGAACTTGAAAGACAAGCAATGTCAGAGATGCTTCGCCTTGATATTAGGGGATAGGTCAAGGTCATAGTTATGTATACATGCTTGAGGTGGTATTAAAGCAAGGAGGCCCAGGTGCTTGATGGATGTTAGGTATTCAATCAAAGGATACATTACTATACACAGTTGAATCTGTTACTAGATTCTATTCTGGTTCACTAACAGTCCTATGCCAAAATCATGACTATTTTAATTTATAGTATATTTTTATAAAGCAAGTTCTCAGTAGTTTTTAATAACTATTGTTATGTCAGTTATTTTATTCAGTTACAAAGAAAAGTCCTAAAGAATTCTGATAGAAGCTGCCTTAAATTTACATGTTAATTTATAAAAATGACATTTTATATACGCATACATACATGCAAACAGTTCTCTCTCTCTTTTTTTTTAGATGGTTCTTGCTATGTTTCTCATATTGGCCTTGAACTCCTGGGCTTAAGGGATCCTTCTGCATCAGCCACCCAAGTACTGGGACTATAGGTGCATGCTACCACAACCCATTCTAGTTTTATATCTTGTATCCTTTTTATTTGTGTATCAGTTTGAATTTCATCTTTGGGTAGAACCTATTTTGAGGAGTGTGTCTTAATTTCATATTGTAAGGACTTTATTCTCCCTTAAAGTTATTTTTCTCTTTTTTTTTTAAAGAGAGAGAGAGAGAGAATTTTCAATATTTATTTTTTAGTTTTCAGCGGACACAATATCTTTGTTTGTATGTGGTGCTGAGGATTGAGCCCTGGCCACATGCATGCCAGGCGAGCACGCTACCTCTTGAGCCACATCCCCAGCCCAAAAAGTTATTTTTCTTGTTGTAAACTTCTAGGTTATATTTGAGTTGCAGTTGCAGGATATGAAACAAATCTTTCTACATTTTGGTGTCCATTAATGTTTTCATGGCCAAGAATTTAAATTGATGATTTTTTCGTTGTTTGGTTCATACTTTATCATTACTTGTTTTAGATTTATTGTTGGGTAACATAGGACAGCCAATGGCAAGAGCAGTTCATCTGGTATGCTGCTCAATGAGATACCTGACTCACTTTAAGCTGCAATTATGTTATGGGTTAGCACAGCATGGGGATCTAAAATTTTCCCAAGTAGTAGAGGGCAGTGATATGAAAATGGAGTAAAAAGTACTTAGTTTTAAAATTGGGGAAGGTAAAGATCAAGAAGAAATATGATTATAGAAAGAACACTATTATTTCTATCTCATAGGTATCAGTTTCTATGCTACTCTTTTACTCATTAGTCATTAAACCTTTACAATAATCTAGTCAGTAGAAGTGACTGTTTTTATTGTACACAGAAGGAAATGGAAACTCAGAAATATTAAGTAACCTTCCCAAGGTCACACAGCTAATAAATGATAGAGTTGAGATTTTGATTTTTTAAAAATACTTCATGGATATGAGAAATGATTTATATTATTTATAGAAAACAAACTTTTACACAGATACATTTATTAATAAAACATGTATCATTAACATCTGTAACATTATTTTGTGTATTTGAACTGACAAATTCTGAAAGAGTTGTATTAAGTATATTATAATGATAGATAATTTTATCAGGTTCTAGTTGCTCTGAACATTTGAGCTTTATGTTATTTAGTGTGTGAAGAAACAAAATGCATATATTCTTTATTGTTTTAACGTTTATCATTACATAATACTCTCTATTTGTTTTGCTTAATTAGCTTGGGCCTTGAATTTTGCTTAATTTGATATCATATTGCAACTATGTCATCTTTTGTTTTTATTTTAATATCACTTTTATCTTTACAAAATAGTACAGATAATATAGATATATTATGAAGAATAATATGATGAACCATTGAAGTCCTACCATTTGCATGTATGTGTACTTATATACATATATAGATTGTATAGCTTATTTTTAGAGGTTTCTTAAATATCTATATAAATTAGCCTTGGTAATATAAATCAAAACAGACTCTTTATTCATACATTTTTTCTTCCAACTTTTGAAAAATTTGAAGGACATGCAAAATACAAAATCAGGAATTCAGATTTGTTTTCAAACTTTACTAAAGTTTGAGTATACAGAGTTTGGGTGGATTCAAAGTTAGGTGAACAAAATTGCCCAAAACTCACTTTCATGTACAAATTTGATGAGGGAGAGCATGTGGTTGAAGCATTTGAAGGGGAAGATATGGAAATGTCCAAATTCACCCAATTTCAAATGACCAAGGTACAGCTATTAAAAATCTTATTTCAATCTCCAGTGAAGGATGTTATTTGTAAAATTTACACCATATATTTAGAAATATTTTTTTTGTGTGAAACACCACCCACACTATGGCACTTCTGCAGAGAAAGCCATGTTGTTTTGCTCTGTCAGTAAGATATAAAAGCTCCTTGGGCATACATTTATTGTTATATTTCAGTTCCTATTTCTAATGTTAACATCACATGATTTGGAATAGAACTTGAAATTTGAGAGACAATAACACAGAAAATAAGGAAATTTGACTTTGTTAGGATATTGTAAAAAAAGATGATGAACCAAGAACATAAAAATCAATTTCAATTTGTTCCCAAATTTTGAAATTTAGATATTAGCTTTGTAAAGCATGTGTTCAGGGAAGAATTGTAGCCTGTCATGTCAGACTACTTATCTGCACAGTCATGTTTGAGTTTGACTGATGGTGTATCTAGATTACTTAAAATGAGATTATATTTTATTTCACTCATATGTGTGTGCTATATCTATGGCTATCAAGATTTGAATTCATGTGGCTGGAGTTGTGACTCAGTGGTTAGAGTGCTTGCCTAGCATGTGTGAGGCACTGGGTTTAATCCACACCACCACGTTAAAAAAAATAAAATATAGGTCCTTTGACAACTAAAAAATATTTTTTAAAAGTATTTGAATTCATTATTTTTAACTTAAATTTATTTTTAACTGATGCAAAAAAACATAAAGATTAGCTGGACACAGTGGTACACGCCTGTAATACCAGTCACTCGGGAGGCTGAGGCAGGAGGATCATGAGTTCAGAGCCAGCCTCAGCAAAAACTAGGTACTAAGCAACTCAGTGAGAACCTGTCTCTAAATAAAATCCAAAGTAGGGCTGGGGAATGTGGCTCAGTGGCCAAGTTCCCTGAGTTCAATCCCCAATACCCTCCCCCCAACCAAATGTACTTATTAATGAAGTACTACAATATTTGACTTAGTTAATGTAAAGGAAAATTTGTATCAAGAAGACTATGTCTTTTATAAGGAAATTGATGTTATCATTTTCTTTTTAGTTTTTTGTTATATTTTGCTTTTTATAAAAGAGAAAAGGAAGATGAAAATATGTGATTGTGGAATCAGTGTGTCTAACTGAGATCTTTCAGTTCTCCATGAGGTGGCAGCAGTTCTTCAGTAACACGAGGGAGCCTGTAGGGAAGGTCAAGTTCAAAGACTCCGTAGACACTGTCCAACTGAGAACTTTTACAAGGCTGTGCTTTCTTTTGCCAGATTTTTTTCTGTGACTTTGTTTCTTTTCTTTTCTGTTTGGCAAAGTTCAGCCATGAATCACCTTTTTGTTAGATCTGGGCCTTTCTGTTCTGAAATGGCCTGCTTTTGCTGAAGTCAACAGACAGATTTCACAACAGTCCACGGGCCAAATTACATACAGTTCAGCATCTACAGAGATGACTTAACTTAATAGAAGCATAATTGCTGTTGCATCTTGGAGGACAGAATTGCTTCCTTCCTATGGAATTTTATCTTTTTTAGGGAGAATTTTCTGGAACCTCAATAGAGTCATTACAGATAAAAAGAAGATGCCATCAGTATTTTGTAATACTATTAATTTAGGGCTTTAAAATTATTATATTTTTTCATTAAAACCATCTTAGAGATTAAAGATGAGATTATACTAGGCTTCTTTTTGTGAGAATAGAGAACTATTTTATGGAAACACTCAGTTAAAATAAAGGACTTAAAATTGCACTTCATTGCACCAAACTTTTAAAACTAAATTGTTCGATGATTTGGACTTCAGTATATTGAATATATTTAATTCTAATAGGCTTCCTTCTCCAAATGTTTCAAATTATAAAACAGTTCTGTCTTTGTATTCATCATCAGAATCTGGCATTATCCCTTTTTCTCAGCGTTTCTTTGCTTAAATGACAACTATTTCTGGATGAGTAATGACAGACATTCTTGATGTGAGTACATGTTTGTAATGTTACAGACATTTCTAGAAGGTTCAGAAGTCTATTTTCACCTATCATTCTTGATCAAACTTGCAACTTGAATCCTGGTTTTGTTGATAAAGTTTACTTTTTATTGTTGATGTTTTAATTTTCATTTCAATATTGATTAGTTTCTCCTTTTGCCTTAACAGACTTATTTTTAGAATATTGTTTTCTTCATAGCAACATTGAGAACTGTTCCCATATCCTTCTGCCATCATATATTGTCAATGTCCCCCACATTTGTCATAATCAATAAACTTACATTGACACATCATTATCAATAGAAATCCATAATTAACATTTGACTTCACTCTTGTTATTGTACATTCTGTGGGTTTTGACAAGTATTTAATTACTTGTATCTTCCATTGTGATGCCATACAGAATGGTTTTGCTGCCCTAAACATTCTCTGTGTCCATTCATCCCTTGTCAGTCACTAATATTTCTACTGTCTCCATAGTTTTACATTTTCTGGAGTATTATATAGAAATCCTTATAGTATGTAGCTTTTCAGATTGGCTTCTTTCACACAGGAATATGCATTTAAGTTTCCTCCACATCTTTTCATGACTTGATAGCTCATTCCCTTTCAGTGTTGTTCTCTTACTGTATCCAAATTAATGTATCTGCTCACCTATAGGAGAACAACCTGGTTGCTTCCAAGTTTTAACAATCATGAGTAAACTATAAACATGTGCAGGTTTTTATATGGATATAAGTTTTCAGTTCTTTGGGGGGAACACTAGAAACTGCATGGATATACCATTTTTCATTCCCACAATCAATGAATGAAATGAGATGGTGCTCCACACCCTCACCAGCATATGGTAGTGTCAGTATTTTGGATTTAGCTTTGCGAGTAAGTGTGTAATGGTATCTTGTTTTTGTTTTAATTTGCAATTTTCAAAGACATATGATATTGAATATCTTTTGTTTGCTTACCATCTTTTTATCTTCTTTGATGAGATGTCTGTGGCCCAATTTTTAGTTGGGTTGTTTGGGTTTTTTTTATTGGTGGGTTTTACAAATTATTGGTATATTTTGAATAACCCTCTTTTATTTGATATGTTTTTCACAAATATTTCTCCTATTCTGTAGCTTATTTTAATTTTATTGACAGTGTCTCTTGAAGAGAGGAAAAGTTTAATTTTAATGAAGTTCAGCTTATTCTTTCTTTCATAGATCATGCCTTTGGTGTTTTATCTAAAAAGTCATTGCCATTCCCAAAATCATCTAGATTTTCTCCTATAGTGTCTTCTAAGTATTTTATAGTTTTATATTTCTCATTTAGGTTTGTGATCCATTTTCAATTAACTTTTGTTAAGAAGGTTTGGTCTGTATTTATATTCATTCTTTGCATGTGGATGTCCAGCAATTCTAGCACCATGTCTTGAAAAGAATACTTTCTTCCATTGTTTTGCCTTTATTCCTTTATGAAAGATTAGTTGGCTGTATTTATACAGATTTATTTCTAAGTTCTCCATTCCCTTCTACTGGTATATTTGCTTGTATGTACATCAATACCCCCTTTGTCTTGATTACTGTAGCTTTAAATTAAATTTCTTGAAGTTCAGCACTATAATTACTTTGACTTTTATTCTTCACCTTCAATGTTGAGTAGGCTATTCTGGGTCTTTTGCCTCATCACATAAACTGTACGTTAAATTTATAAGTGTCCAAAAAATTAATTGGCTGGGATTTTGATTGGCATTGTATTAGATATATAGATCAAGTCGGAAATAGCTGATATTTTGTTGATTTTTTATTATCCATGAACGTGGACTATCTCACCATTTATGTACTTCTTTCTTGATTTCTTTTATTGGAGTTCTATAGTTTTTCTCATATAAATATTATGAATATTTTTTACATTTATACCTAAACATTTGATTTAGGGGATTGCTAGTGTAAATAAAAATGTGCTTTAATTTGAAGTTCACTAATAGCATATAGAAAAGCAATTGACATTTGCATATTAATCTTTTACCTGCAACCCAACTATAATTTCTTACTAGTTTTTAGAGTTTGTTTTTGTTTGTCAGTTCTTTTAGATTTTCTACATGGATAATCACATCATCTGTGAATAGGACAGTTTTATTTCCTTGCTCCCAACCAATATACACTGAATTTCTTTTCTAGTCTTTTGGCATTAACTAGGACTTCCAGTATGATATTGAGAAGGAGTGCCAGGAGGACACAGCATTTCCTTGTTCCTGATCTTAAAGAGAAAGCTTCTAAGTTCTTCCCATTAACTGTGATGTAGGTTTTAGGATATGCATTTTATCAAGGTGGGAAGTTTCCTTCTATTCCTAGTTTACTGTGATACTTATCATGAGTGGCTATTGAATTTTATCAAGTTCTTTTCTGCATCTATTATTTCTTTAGCCTATTAATGTGGTACATTAATTTATTTTCAAATGTTGAACCTTCTTTGCACACCTGGGATAAATTTGTCTTGGTCATGGTGTATCAACTATAACAGAATATCACAGAATGGGAAATTTATAATAAACAAGGATTTACTGGTTTATGGTTCTAGAGGTTGGGAAATTTAATACCAAGGTGCCAGTATCTGGTGAGGGCTTTCTTGATGCAATAAAATATGTCAGAAGACATCACATGAGAGAGGGAGCAAGAAGAGGCCAAAATCATCCTTTTAAAAATATTCTAATTAGTTATACATGACAGAAGAATGCTTTTGACATTTCATACATAAAGCATATAACTTCTCATTCTTCTGGTTGTGCATGATGTAGAATTACACTGGTTGTATAATCATAAACACACATAGGGTAATAATGTCCAATTCTTCTACATCTTTTCTACACCTATGCCTACTCTCCTACCTTCATTCCACTCTGTCTAATTCAAAGTATCTCTATTCTTCCCTAGCCACCACCCCCCATTGTGAATTAGCATCTGCATATTATAGAAAATAGTGGACCTTTGGTTCTTTGGGATTGGCTTATTTTGCTTAGCATGATATTCTCCAGCTCCATCCATTTACCTGCAAATGCCGTAATTTCATTCTTCTTTAAGGCTAAGTAATAGTTCATTGTGAATATATACCACATTTTCTTTATCCATTTATCCACCGAAGGGCACCTAGGTTGGTTCCATACTTAGCTATTGTGAATTGAGGTACTATGTACATTGAAGTGGCTTTGTCACTGTAGTATGCTGAATTTAAGTCCTTCGGGTATAAACTGAGGAGTGGGATAGCTAGGTTAAATGGTGGTTCCATTCCAAGTTTTCTGAAGAATCTCAATATTGCTTTCCTTACTGGTTGCACCAATTTGCAGTCCCCCAGCAGTGTATGAGTGTACCTTTTCCCCCACATACTCGCCAACATTTATTGATTTCGTTAGATTGATTCCAAATAGTTTTTTTGGAGGCTATTGTCAATGGGGTAGTTTTCCTAATTTCTCTTCAACCATTTATTGTTGCTTGTATTCCTGTTAATTGCCATTCTCACTGGAGTGAGATGATATCTCAGTATAGTTTTAATTTTCATTTCTCTAACTGCTAGAGATGTTGAACATTTTTTCATATATTTGTTGACTGATCATATTTATTCTACTATGAAGTGTCTTTTGTTCCTTAGCCCATTTATTGATTGGGTTAATTGTTTTGTTTTGGTTTTTTTTTTTTTTTTTGGTGTTAGGTTTTTTTCAGTTTTTTATATATTCCTGGAGATTAAAGCTCTATCTGAGGTACAGGTGGTAAACATGTTCTCCCATTCTGCAGGTTTTCTGTTCACATTGTTGATTGTTTCTTTTGCTGTGAAGAAGCTTTTTAGCTAGGTTTCATCACACTTATTAATTCTTGACTTTACTTCTTGTGCTTGAGGAGTCTTGTTAAGGAAGTCAGTTCCTAAGTTGACATGAATGGAGATTTGGGCCTACTTTTTCTTCTATTAGGCAAAAGGTCTCTGTTCTAGTACCTTTTTGTGAAGGGTGAGAGATAGGGGTTTAATTTCATTTTGCTACATATGGATTTCCAGTTTTCTTAGCACCATTTGTTGAAGAGGCTATCTTTTCTCCAATGTATTTTCTCGGTGCTTTTGTCTAGTATCAAATAACTGTATTTATGTGGGTTTGTCTCTGTGTCTTCTATTCTATACCACTGGTTTACATTGTTTGTTTTGGTGCCAAAACCATGCCACTTTTGTTACCATAGCTCTGTAGTATAATTTAAGGTCTGGTATTATGATGCCTCCTGCTTTACTTTTATTGCTAAGGATTGGATATTCTGGGCCTTTTATGTTTCCAAATGAATTTCATGAATGCCTTTTCTATTTCTATGAAGAGTGTCATTGGAATTTTAATACAAATTGGATTAAATCTGTATAACACCTTTGGTAGTATGGCCATTTTGACAATGTTAATTCTGCCTATCCAAGAGCATGGGAGATCTTTTTTCTAAGGTTTTCTTCAGTTTCTTTCTTTAGTGTTTTGTAGTTTTCATCGTAGAGGTCTTTCACTTCTTTCGTTAGATTGATTCCAAATAGTTTTTTTTTGGAGGCTATTGTCAATGGGGTAGTTTTCCTAATTTCTCTTTCAATGGATTCATCACTGATGTATAGGAATGCATTTGCAAAATCATTCTTTTATGAGGAACCCACCTTCTATGGTAATAATTTCACTCTCATGATAATGGCATTAATACATTCAGTACCTTCATGAAGGTCAAGCTCTTATGACCTAAACACCTCTTAAGTGTTCCACTTCTCAACAGTTTTGCATTGAGTATCAAGTTTCTAAAACATGAATTTGGGGATATACATTAAAACCATGGTATAGACTAACCCATTATCGAATGAAGTTTTACTAGAAAAGTGAATAATCAATAAATGTATTCAGTCAAAAGTAAACCACTATAGATGACACAGATATTATAATTAGCAGACGAGAAGTTGAGTAGATATTATGAATATATCCAAAGACTTAAAGGAAGTAGTCACAGATGAATAATTTTATCAGAGAAATAATAACGGGAATCAAATTAAAATTTTAGAAACAAAAAGTTCTGTATCTGAAATGAAATGTTTTCTGATTGGGATTGCCTATAGGTTGATGATGGCAGAAGAAACAATCATGAACTGAAGATAAATCAATAGGAAGTGTTCAATATGAAGAACAGCATGAAAAATCTAATAAATGGGAAAAAATCTAATAAACGAGGAAAAATCAGCCTCCTATACAGCAATATCAAGTACACCAATATATGTGTAACTGGAGTCCCAAAAGAAAGAATGAGAAAGAAGAAGAAAA